GGAGAAGGAGGAGGAGAAGGAGGAGGAGAAGGAGGAGGAGAAGGAGGAGAAGGAGAAGGAGGAGGAGGAGGAGGAGGAGGAGGAGGAGAAGGAGGAGGAGGAGAAGGAGGATGAGAAGGAGGAGGAGGAGGAAGAGGATGATTGTTTGTTAGTTTTTGTAAACAAGTTTTGTAAACAATATATTGATAATTATGTTTGTGTGCTTATTGTGTTGTATACAACGAGTGTATATATATACATTGCACCTTACTTTGGTCTCATAGGCCACATAAGTTATGTGAAAAAATAAAATAGTGAAAAAAACAAAAAACCTTCAATTACAAGTAAACTAAAGTTTACCGGGTGAGCGGCAGTCGCCGCTGTTGCCATACGCGGCTCATTTTCTGCAAACTTCACGGCTCTATATCTCGGTAAGTACCGATGGCAAAATTTTTTTTTTTTTGGACTAAAACACTCAGAAAAATAATCTTAACATTTTCATAAGAAAAAATAATTTTTTTTTTTTTGAATATTTGGCGACATAGAATGACAGTTTCAGAGAGGGGCCTGAAACAGTCAAAGGGTTAAATCTGTAGGGTCACCACCTTTATGTATTGGTGTAACCCTTGCTGTGTTGAGTAGTTTCGGGAAGGTGCTAGTTTCTAGTGACTTGTTAAAAGTAATAAGATAGCATGCGAGAGGACATGGGCCGCTCTCTTGTACAATAATGGTGGGACATGAGACAGATTCCCTGAGTTATTTTTAAGTGACTTTATAATCTCAGTGACTTCCATGGGCTCAGTTGGAGCAAGACAGAAGGAATTTGGGAAATTCCCATCTAGATCTAAACTTACTCCCTGTTCAGTACATCCACACTTACTACTGTGCAATCTGCATCTACAGGACCTTCAATTCCAATATTAACCTTGACCTAAAATGCTTTCTTGATAGTTGTGACAGAACCCACAGGCATAACACCAGACACAAACATCTCTATGACACTCCCCGTGTCTGACTAAACCTTTACAAAAATTCAGCGTATGTCAAAGGCCCTAAAATCTGGAACACCCTACCTGAAAACTCTAGAACTGCAGACACATTCATCACCTTCAAAACTACCATTAGAAAATATCTTATCTCCCTGATACACCCCGTCAACTAACTACACGAATACCACCTGGTGGTTCACACTTTCACTCACCCATTTGACCATAAACAGAAATATTACTCTCAATCTTAAAATAATGAATCCAATACTGAAACTATGTACTGTGCCTAAACAAAAACATTCACACTGCTAAACTCACAAACTAGCATTTAGTCACTTAGCCATAATACCAACTTACCTCATAATTTGTAATATTTTAAAATTAAGAATTAAACTAAGTCTGCCCAAAATGCCTAACCATGCTAGGTGTTCTAGTGGTACACTCTGTAATTATTATTTTACTACAAGTAAACCACACAATAACCAAATTCTGTAAACTCAGCATTGTAATCCTTATAGAGAATAAACTTTGAAAGAAAGCTTTTAGTGCCAACCCTGTGGTAAAAAGGGTGAGAAATACTGTCGTATCACGGTCAGGTGCTGCTGCACCACCATCAGCTGTTGCTGGATTGGTCAGCTGTTGCTGCACCACAGTCAGCTGCTGCTGCACCACCATCAGCTGTTGCTGCACCCCAGTCAGCCATTGCTGCACCATAGTCAGCTGCTGCTGCACCACAGTCAGCTGTTGCTAAACCATGGTCAGCTGCTGCTGCTGCACCAATGTCAGCTGTTGCTGAACCACAGTCATCTGCTGCTGAACCACAGTCAGCTGCTGCTGAATCACAGTCAGCTGCTGCTGCACCAAAGTCAGCTGTTGCTGAACCACAGTCAGCTGTTGCTGCACCACAGTCAGCTGCTGCTGTACCACAGTCAGCTGCTGCTGCACCACTGTCAGCTGTTGCTGCACCCCAGTCAGCTGTTGCTGCACCACAGTCAGCTGTTGTTGCACCACCATCAGCTGTTGCTCCACCACCATCAGCTGTACTACTCGAAGATGTGGAGAGTGTGTTGTTGGTGTGGCTTAACAGGAAACAATTACCGAGAAACAACCCCAGATGGTTAGCTACCCAGGATAACCCAGGGAAAAAAAAAATTATTTAATACTTTTGGCTGTCTGGAACGGATTAATTGGATTTCCATTATTTCTTATGGGGAAAATTAATTCATCTAATGATTATTTCGGCTAACAATGAGCTCTCAGGAACGGATTAATATCGTTAGGCGAGGGTCCACTGTAATTGCTGCCTTGCCAGAAGTGTGCTGACATCACAATTCAGATTACCCTCTGACTTCAACATCCCCACCCTTCCTTCAGAGTATATACACTGCCCTTCCCACCTCCAGAACTTCAGTCTCTCTAACAGGTTTCGTTGAATCTCTTCGTAAACATTATCTTGCTCATACTTTATCAGCACGCCTATTTAAAACTACTTGTCTCCATTTACTCCTATCTAACACACTTGCACAAACCTGCACTTACAGATCAGGTTTGAGTCTACCAGTATTTGCAAAACCTACTGGAAAGTAATCCAATTGAAATACCTACAGTTAAACATAAGAAAGTTACGCATTCCTTTCCAAACGTTTTTTTGAAGAGCAAGTATCATTCCTATCCACAGTAGTGGTGATTCTCATCTGACATTAACAATTACAGATCAGTATTGAGTCTTCAATTACAGATCAATATTGAGTTTCTAACATATCCAAACTCAACATACATAGTCTTTACCATCCATTGTAGATGAAGACCCAGAAGAAAGTCCCAACAATGCTATAGTATACTCTTGAATCCCAGGCTCTGTTAAGAAGGAAATTCTTTTCCCTTCTGTCATCAGACCGAAAGGCTTACCTTAATTATCACATTAGCAAGGATCTCATGACCTCCTTTGGCCAAAAAGATTTCTTTCATACCCTAAGGAGTAGGATGTGTATAGTCACCATAAATATTGCAAGCTGGGCCACCAACATTTTCATATCCACAGTACTGGCAATATCCTAGTCACAATATCCTAGTCCTTAATTCAAGCCATGGAACCGTCATCCCACACAGTATGATGTAAGAAGCAGAATGTTGCCCAGGAATTGACAAGTAACTCATTCTACAACTTCCTATCGCCTTTGTTGAAATTTATGTCAGCGCTGCCCAAAGACAGGAACAATTTGCCATATTGAGATTAAAACATTTTATTATCAATGAAATAGATTAAATTTTCTTTTTAAAAGGCATAAATTCCTCAAATACTAGGCTTCAGAATAAATAAGAAGGCAGCATATGTGATATGTTTATATGTGAAAGTCCTGTTTTGAATTCAGCAGCTGTTGAGTGATTGTCGTGCTGTCAGTTGTAGTTTAATATCTTGATTGTGTATTCCATACCCATCCTGTGGGCAGTAGTGCAATGAACAGGCAGACACTGCTGCGCAGTCAGCAGTACATGACCTACCAATTTCCTATCGAGGTGTTCCATTTCTGGACTATTTTGCTGCAATAGGTACCCACCTTCGCACCCGTTGGCAACAACGTTGGTCAACTCTGCTCGGTAACAAACTTCATTCTATTAAACCGAGCATAGGTTACTGGCCGTCTTCTTGTCATCAGTGCCGAGGTTGGGAGACCACTCTCTCCCACCTTCGCATTGGCCACACTCATCTTACTCATGGGTATCTCATGGAGAGGCACCCTGTTCCTCTCTGTGAGCAGTGTCAAGTTCCAGTATCGATTAGCCACATTCTGTTAGACTGCCCTCTCTATCAACGAGCACGCAGAATTTACCTCCAACGTCATCTTCGTTCTACTACTCTCTCTTTACCTTCCCTTCTTGCTGATGGACCCTCCTTTAATCCTGACTCTCTCATTGACTTCTTGACAACGACTGATTTACTCCACAAACTCTGATGATACTTTTCGCTCTCCCCTCAGCCCTTTCTAGTTCAGTCTCTTGCTGCCCTTTACCCTTTCACCATCCACTACCCCACTGTTATCCGTAACCTATTTTGCTGCAATAGGTACCCACCTTCGCACCCGTTGGCAACAACGTTGGTCAACTCTGCTCGGTAACAAACTTCATTCTATTAAACCGAGCATAGGTTACTGGCCGTCTTCTTGTCATCAGTGCCGAGGTTGGGAGACCACTCTCTCCCACCTTCGCATTGGCCACACTCGTCTTACTCATGGGTATCTCATGGAGAGGCACCCGCACCCTGTTCCTCTCTGTGAGCAGTGTCAAGTTCCAGTATCGATTAGCCACATTCTGTTAGACTGCCCTCTCTATCAACGAGCACGCAGAATTTACCTCCAACGTCGTCTTCGTTCTACTACTCTCTCTTTACCTTCCCTTCTTGCTGATGGACCCTCCTTTAATCCTGACTCTCTCATTGACTTCTTGACAACGACTGATTTACTCCACAAACTCTGATGATACTTTTCGCTCTCCCCTCAGCCCTTTCTAGTTCAGTCTCTTGCTGCCCTTTACCCTTTCACCATCCACTACCCCGCTGTTATCCGTAACCTATTACTCATCCATCTCCCTTTTGCCACCTGATGCCCTCGCTTCCTTCCTGCCCTGCAGCGCTGTATAATCCTTGTGGCTTAGCGCTTCTTTTTGATTATAATAATAATGTGGGCAGTAGTTATAAGATTACTGAGGCACACAATGAGTCCAGGGTCTGGTACGGTAAGGTGTTCAAAACCATTCATCACAAAGGTTTGATAGCTAAACAAGTTAGTGGTAATTAATTATTTGCATGTTTTTATCTGGTTATAATGGTAATGAGTTATTCATGCAAACATGAACTAAGTTACAAAAAAATTACAAAAATATTAACTTATGTTTTAACAAGGTATGCTTGAATTTAAACAAGTTTAAAGTGTGCCAACAGGCAAAGGAATATTGAATCTCACCAAGTGGGAAATACAGTGGAAGTTATTTGTTTTGTCTCAGTAGGATTTGTTTTATATGTATCTGACTTTACAGGAGAAAATCAGCATAACACATTTAAGGGAAGCTGTTGACTCTGCTCATCAAGCACTTGATATGGATCTACAGTGTCGCAGAAAAACATTTGCTTTTGTTGTCCGGTACGTTTAGTGCCTTTCATTGTTTAGAGTGTTTAGTGGCTTTCAATTTCTAGACTGTTTAGTGAGTTTCATTGTCTAGAATGTTTAGTGTCTTTCATTGTCTCGAATGTTTAGTGCCTTTCATTGTCTAGAATGTTTAGTGTCTTTCATTGTCTCGAATGTTTAGTGCCTTTCATTGTCTAGAATGTTTAGTGATTTTCATTGTCCAGAATGTTTAGTGCCTTTCATTGTCTAGAATGTTTAGTGATTTTCATTGTCTAGAATGTTATAGTGCCTTTCATTGTCTAGAATGTTTAGTGCCTTTCATTGTCTACAATGTTGATAGTGCCTTTCATTGTCTAGAATGCTTAGTGCCTTTCATTTTCAAGAATGTTTAGTGCCTTTCAATGTCTAGAATGTTTAGTGACTTTCATTGTCAAGAATGTTTAGTGCCTTTCATTGTCTAGAATGTTTAGTGCCTTTCATTGTCTAGAATGTTTAGTGACTTTCATTGTCTAGAATGTTTAGTGCTTTTCATTGTCTAGAATGTTTAGTGCCTTTAATTGTCTAGAATGTTTAGTGCCTTTCATTGTCTAGAATGTTTAGTGCCTTTCATTGTCTAGAATGTTTAGTGCCTTTCATTGTCTAGAATGTTTAGTGCCTTTCATTGTCTAGAATGTTTAGTGCCTTTCATTGTCTAGAATGTTTAGTGCCTTTAATTGTCTAGAATGTTTAGCGCCTTTCATTGTCTAGAATGCTTTGTGCTTTTCATTGTCTACAATGTTTAGTGCCTTTCATTGCCCAGAATGTTTAATGTCTTTCATTATTCAGTTTCTTTAACATTTTTGGGTTATTCTGATTAATTTACACATTTGTTAAACTATGCATAATAAATGTATTTTTGTGCACCTGTACCTAAATAAACTTACTTAGTGCTGTTATGTTTATTGCTGGTATGTTTATTGCTGTTGTTGTCTGTCTAGTATGTTTATTGCTATTGTTGCCTGGTATGTTTAGTGGTATTATTGTCTAGCATGTTTAGTGCTATTGTTTTATGTTAAGTCCTATTGTTGTCTAGTATGTTTATTGCTATTGTTGTTTTGTATGAACTCAAATTAAGTTTTAATAACAACTGTCTAGTATATTTTGTGCTATTGTTGTATGCTTAGTGCTATTGTTTTAATAACATGTTTATTGCTGCTGTTGTCTGGTATATATAATGTCATTGTTTAGCATGTTTAGTACTATTGTTGTCTAGTATGTTTAGTGCTGTTGTTATCTGGTATGTTTAGTGCTATTGTTGTCTGGTGTGTCTAATTCTGTTGTATGTTTAGTGCTATTGTTGTCAAGTTTATCAAGTGCTATTCTTGTCTAATATGTTTAGTTCTGTTGTTGTCTAGTATGTTTAGTGCTATAGTTGCCTGGTATATTTAATGCTATTGTTGTCTAGCATGTTTAGTGCTGTTGTTGTATGTTTAGTTCTATTCTTGTATGTTTGGTGCTATTGCTGTATGTTTAGTGCTATTGTTAACTGGTATATTGAGTGCTGCTTTTGTCTGGTATCTTTTATGCTATTGTTTTCTGGTTTGTTCATTGCTATTGTTGTCTGATATCTTTAGTGTCATTGTTGTCTGGTATGTTTAGTGCTATTATTGTCTTATATCTTTAGTGCTGTTGTTGTATGGTATGTTTAGTATTATTGTATTTCTGGTGTGTTTAATGCCATTTTCCATTTTCAAATAAGTTGATTGTGCTGTGGGATAGTATTGTATGTCAGATATTTCTTCTTTGGAATGTATAATATAGAACTGTAATAAATTCAGGCATTTTCTGAAAAAAAGCAATATTTTAGTGTTTAGATGAATGGATACTCAAATAATGGTTATGTACTACCTCATATTAACCCTTTCAGGGTTGGCAGACCCTCTCCCAAACCTGTTCTCAGGGTCGGTAAAAATTTGAAAAAAAAAAATTATTTTTTCTCATGAAAAGATAGTTTTTTTTTTCTAAATTTTATAAGCTAAAAAAAAATTGTTTGCCATCAATACTTACCGAGATATGGAGGCGTGAAGCTGACAGAAATTGAACCGCATACAGCAACATCACCGACTGCCGGTCACCCGGTAATAGTTTTTTTTTTTTCTACTTTTTTCTTTTATTTTTTAATATTTTATTTTTTTAAGTAACTTTTATGGCCTCTGAGACCAATATAAAGACTATTTGGTATATATTCAATCATTGTATACTACACAATAACAGCACAAACTTTGCTGTCATTACAGTGGACCCCCGGTTCGCGAAGCCATCGGTATCCGATAAATCCGGTATCCGAAGCATTATATCGCAAAAAATTTGCCTCGGTTCCCGTTACAAAACCCGGTATGTGATACAATTCGTACGAGACGTGTCCAGTGTTTACAAGCCAGCCAGTGTGCGCGCATCTAAGGATACATTCGGTACATTCTATATTATCCATATTATCACTGTTTTTGGTGCTTGTTTCTGCAAAATAAGCCACCATGGGCCCCAAGAAAGCTTCTAGTGCCAACCCATCGAGACCAAGGGTGCTAATGAGCATTGAAATTATGGAAATGTGTGCAAAGTGGCTTGAAGTGCAAACCTTTTTGGATGAAAATCGCCCTGACACAGCTACTGCAAGCAGTGTTGGCAGCCTGTACACTGACAATGTTGTGAACCACTTTAGGAAAGTCATAAGGAACGAGAGGTACAGGCCTCTATGGACAGATATGTTGTGCGACAGAAGTCCAGTGACTCTCAAGCTGGTCCTAGTGGCATTAAAAGAAGAAGGGAAGTAACCCCAGAAAAGGACTTGCTACCTCAAGTCCTAATGGAAGGGGATTCCCCTTCTAAACATTAAAAACTTTGACACTCTCCCCTCCTCCCATCCCATCAATCATCACCAGATCTTCATTAAAGGTAAGTGTCAATTATTCTATTGTGATTATTCTATTGTTATTATTGTTATTGCAATTATTATATTGCATTAAACTTAATATATCATGTGGTTAAATTTGTTTTTCATACTTTTGGGTGTCTTGCACGGATTAATTTGGTTTCCATTATTTCTTATGGGGAAAATTGATTCGCTTTCCGATAATTTTGGTTTACGATGAGCTCTCAGGAACGGATTAATATCGTGAACCGGAGGTCCACTGTATATTTTTTACAAAACATGTTTACACAAACCAACAATAAAAAATTTTGTTTATCACAATTTTTCTATGATTATATACTCATATAGAGTCACTGGACAGGTTCCTATAACTACAAGAGGCTCTGAAAGCTTGTAGTAGTGTGGGGGTGGACTTGTAAATAGGCTGAGTCACCGGTGTGTCATGTGTCACAATGATGCATCATACCACCACTCACTAACCTCACTGCCTTCCACAACACATCCCTTCCTCCCCACACACCTACCTTCCTTTATTCTCTTCCTACCTACCTTCCCTCCTCCTTCCTCTCATCTCTTCTTACCTACTTTCCCTCCTTCCTTCCTTCTCTCCTTCCTTCCTTCCTTCCTTCCTTCCTTCCCTCCTTCCTTCCCTCCCTTCTTCCTTCTCTCCCTCCTTCCTTCCCTTCTTTCCCTCCCTAATTCCTTCCCTCTTTCCTTCCCCCCTCCTTCCTTCCCTCCCTCCTTCCTTCCCTCCCTCCTTCCCTCCATCCTTCCTTCCCTCCCTCCTTCCTTCCCTCCATTCTTCCTTCCCTCCCTCCTTCCTTCCTTCCCTCCTTCCTTTCTTACCTCCTTCCTTCCTTCCCTCCTTCCTTCCTTCCTTCCTTCCCTTCTTCTTTCCCTCCTTCCTTCAAGTAACTTTTCTGGCCTATGAGACCAATATAAGGTATATTGAATGTGTATTCACTCATTGTCTGCTACACAGTAATCGCACAAACAGCTATTGTATTGTTTACAAAACATGTTTACACAAACCAACAATAAAAAATGTTGTTTACTATTTTTCCATCACATATATACACATATAAAGTCACTGGACACTTCCCAGAACTGCTACAGCTTCTGTAAAGCTCATAGTTGTTTTGTGGGGGTGGACTTGTAAATATGCTTAGTCACTGGCCTAATTAGTGTCACAATGACAAATACCACCACTCACCACCCTCACTGCCTGTCAACACCCATCCCTTCCTCCCCACCCCACCAACCCACATGGAAATAAGTCACTGTCTGAATTTTTTGAGTTATCCTAGGTTGGTGGTCTCCTTTCTTCCCCCCTTCCTTCCTTCCTTCCCTCCTTCCTTCCCTCCTTCCTTCCCTCCCTCCTTCCTTCCTTCCTTCCTTCCTTCCTTCCCTCCTTCCTTCCCTCTTTCCTCTCATCTCTTCCTTTCTTCCTTCCTTCCTCTCATCTCTTCCTTCTTTTCTCCCTTTCTTCTACCTACCTACCTTCCATCCTTCCTTCCTTCCTTCTTTCTTCAGGTTGGTTTCCTGGGCATTGCTTTCAGTCACAAACTCCTCAAAACCATGAAATTCATCTTCACTGACACATCCATCTGTGTTTGAACTGTCACTTGGGAACAAAAGAGCCCCAATTAGCCAAGGCGTGAGGAGTTTTTTACTGCTAGAAATTGTGAACAAGATGTAATATAATAAAATGGCTTTCCCACAATGCACCACTGGGTCCCTGATTTTTTTTATACTACACACACTGACCATGGAGACCCATTCTCTCACATCCAGGACTACCAACCTTTTCCTGCTTGATTTGAGGACGCTTGAATTTATGCGTACTAGTACAGCACCAACCCTGGCGCATAAACCGTACTAGTATGGCACCAACCCTGAAAGGGTTAATAATAGAGTAAACAAACTTAATTACAAACTTAAAAATGTATGTTTGTATCATAAATTGTACTACCTCACATTAATAATAGAGTAAAATATTGAATACAGTAGGGCCCCACTTTACGGCGTTTCACCTTACAGCGTTCCGCTAATACAGCAATGTCAAATTACGACCAAAATTTGCTATACGGCAAGTGGTCTTTCAAAT